ATACAATTGTACCCCAAACCTCAGCATCATGCAGTATACCCATGTAACAAACCTGCACATGTGCCCCCTGAATCTAAGATAAAAGTTGAAATTTTAAAAACTACCACTTGTTGCCTTTTATTGTAGTGTCAACAGTTATCTGAAAAAGATATTAAAACACTCTTTTTACCAATTACATATACATAGGAAGCCAGATTATCTTCATATATTTCAACCAAAAAAGAATAGCGTATGTAAGAATCCAGCTGTCTTTAATTAAGCCAAACTATAAGCAAATTTGCAAAAAAAAAAAAAAAAAGCAATAACACTTTTCTCACCAAATATTTTCTGTGATAGAAAAAAAAATAGATTTTTTTTTTTCTGCTGGGTAGTCTAGGGGAAATTTTTTAAATTTAAATAAAAATATATATATTTTTGAGATGGAGTCTCACTCTCGCCCAGGCTGGGGTGCAGTGGCATGATCTCGTCTCACTGCAACCTCCACCACCTCCCAAGTTCAAGCAATCCTCCTGCCTCAGCCTCCTGAGTAGCTGGGTTTTGACCGTGTTGGGCAGGCTGGTCTCGAACTCCTGACCTCAAGTGATTTGCCTGCCTTGGCCTCCTGAAGTGCTAGGATTACAGGCATGAGCCACCACGCCCAGCCAGAAACTATTCTATATGATACTGTAATTGTGGATACATGACCCGATGCATTTGCCAATAATCATAGAACTATTTTATAGCATATAGAATGAACCTTAATGTATGCATATTAAAAGAAATCATTTAAGAGTCAGAGGATCCTGGCTGGAACACAAAATGTGACAAAATAATCAAACTATATTATAATGTATGAAAGAACCTCACTAAAGAAGGTGTAGAAAAAGGTACTTATATGGGAATGAGTGGAATCTGTAAGACTAAAGGCAAAAGAAAATATACATATGCACTGTACTCTAGTTAATAAAGTTGCTTCTCATGGGAAAGTAGGTTAACAATTCTGATACTGTTATACATGTACACTGCAATTAAATAATTAAGTAAATGTTTGGTATATGGTGGGAACCAAGTATCTTATTGTTGGAGTGGGAGTTTATAAGTAAAGGGAGGAGGGTAGAATGATTCATCTAGTAATGGATTAGAGTTGAGGCACCACATAGGTATTAATTCACATTTAGCTTAATACAGATACAGATGGTTACATACAGAAATATTTATAGGTATGTGTATATAGATGTGCTAGTAAACACATGTGTACAGTTGGCCCTCCATATCCATGAGTGCTGCATCTGTGAATTCCACCAACTAGGAATCAGAAAAAAAAATGGAAGGTTACATCTCTAATGAACACCTACAAATGTTTTTTCTTGTCATTATTCCCTAAACAAAACAGAATACCAACTATTTACATAGCATTTACATTGCATTATGTATTCAAAATAATCTAGAAATGATCTGAAGTATATGGGTGGGGGTGGAGCACGGTGGTTCACACCTGTAATCCCAGCACTTTAGAAGGCTAAGGCCGGCGGATTGCTTGAGCCCAGGAGTTCAAGACCAGCCTGGGCAACATGGCGAAACCCAATCTTTACTAAAAGTCAAACAAATTAGCTGAGTGTGGTGGTGAGCCCCTGGGAGGCGGAGGTTGCAGTGAGCTGAGATTGCGCCACTGCACTCCAGCCTGGGTGACAGAGTGAGACTCTGTCTCAAAAAAAAAAAAAAAAAATAGAATAGTTTCACCACCCTAAAAAATATCCCATCCTTCACCTATTCAATCTTCTTCTACCTCCCCTCAATCCGCTTGCAACCACTGATCTTTTTACTATTGCTATAATATTGCCTTTTCCAGAATGTCATATAACTAGAATCACACAGTATGTAGCCTTTTCAGACTGGCTTATTTCACTTAGCAATATGCATTTAAATGTCATACATGTCTTTTTGTGGCTCAAGAACTCATTTCTTTTTATTGCTGAATAATATTCCATTGTATGGATGTACCACAGTTTGTTTATTCATTTAACTATTGAAAGATATCTTGGTTGCTTCTAGTTTTTGGAGTTAGGAATAAAATTGTTATAAACATTTGGGTGTAGGTCAGGCGTGGTGGTTCATGCCCGTAATCTGTAATCCCAACACTTTGGGAAGCTGAGGCAGGGGGATCCATTGAGGCCAGGAGTTAAAGACCAGCTTGGGAAAAATAGTGAGACCTTGTCTCTACTAAATTTGTGTGTGTGTGTGTGGGAGTTTCACTCTTGTTGCCCAGGCTGGAGTGCAATGGCGCGATCTCAGTTCACTGCAACCTCCGCCTCGCAGGTTCAAGCGATTCTCCTGCCTCAGACTCCCGAGTAGCTGGGATTACAGGCACGCACCACCACTCCCAGCTAATTTTGTATTTTTAATAGAGAAGGGGTTTCTCCATGTTGGTCAGGCTGGTCTTGAAATCCTGACCTCAGGTAATCCGCCTGCCTCGGCCTCCCAAAGTACTGGGATTACACGCATGAGCCACCACACCCAGCCCTCTACTAAAATTTTTTTAAAATTAGCTGAACTTTTTGGCATGTGCCTGTGTTCTCAACTACATGGGAGGCTGAGGTGAGAGGATTGCTTGAGTCCAGAATGTTATATATATATGTGTGTATATATACATGTGTGTGTATATATATGTTTGTGTATATAAGTGTGTGTGTATGTGTGTGTGTGTGTGTGTGTGTGTATATATATATTTTTTTAGACAGAGTCTTGCTCTGTCACCCAGGCTGGAGTTCAGTGGTACAATCTTGGCTCACTGCAACCTCTACCTCCTGGGTTCAAGCAAATCTCCTTCCTCAGCCTCCTGAGTGGCTGGAATTCAGGTGCACCTCACCACGCCAGGCTAATTTTTTTGTATTTTTGGTAGAGATGGGGTTTCACCATGTTGGTCAGGCTGGTCTTGAACTCCTGACCTTGTGATCCGCCTGCCTCGGCCTCCCAAAGTGCTGGGATTACAGGCATGAGCCACCGCACCCAGCCCTCACAAGTAATATTTCAAAGGTAATTTTTTGGGTTTTATTTCCATGATAATTATGTCTGCTGTGGGGAAGACTTATGCTTTCAAAGAATTTTAATATTTAAATCAATGGGAAGAGAAAACCAGGCAGTGGGATGGGTGTGCCATATCTAAATCACATTATGCTAGTTTGTTTTGCAATGGTGTTTTCATTTTTTCTCAGGTATGCCAGCCATATAATTATTATTAATGATATGTTACATTTTTATTCTCTAAAATTATGTCACTCATTTGCCAAACATTTACTGAGTGCTTGTGCAAGAGAAAGGAAGGGAAAGTGACATTCATTTTTCTATTTGACACATATTTATTGAGCCTATCTTGCAAAGAGCACTTTGCAAGAAGACTGGGGTACAACTTTAGACAAAATCTATATGGTCTCTGTCCTCAGGGAGTTTACAATCTCATGAAAGAGCGAATCTTTAAACAGTTACACAAATTACTCTACTTAAATTCTATGAAGGAAAGGAATGTTACGAGATGTGTCATTATAGAAGTAACTTTCAATACTTTTCTCACCTAATTATCACAATCACTGATGTAGTTTACAAATGAGGAAAATGAGGCTGAGACTGAACTACATGCCAAGGGCCCGAGAGCAAGTAAATCCTTGCAAGTAAAAAACAGAATGTCTAATTTAGGTCTATGTCATTCTAAAGATCATGCTTGAAAACACTGTATTGTAGCCTAAATTTCATGAAACTGTGAGGGACAGACCTTATTTTGATTTTATTAATAAGAAAACTAGTGCTGAGAGGAGCTAGAACTAAAATCTCTTGAACAATCCCCTTATTTTTCTATTATGTTATAAGCTTCCTCAAAACTTGTATAGTTTGTAAGTTTGATGATACAAACAAACCATACATGGAGAAACTGAATAAATTTTTTGTACTTTAAAAAATATAGGATTGTTGTTGAAACAAGCTACCATTAAGCAAAGTACTTATATTTTAACACAATTCTGGCAAATGCCTTACATCTCTCCTTTGCTGATTTTGTTATTTTTCTGTTAATCGCATATTTCATTGGACAAGTCTATTGCTATGGGTCAGAATAAAGAAGGAAACAGTTCTTCAAACAAGCAAACTCACTCTTCATCAAATTATTTTGTGGAGGAAAGTTTCCTGATCAGGGGCAGTGGCCTCACGCCTGTAATCCCAGCAGTTTGGGAGGCTGAGGCGGGCGGATCACTAGAGTCTAAGAGTTTTAGACCAGTTTGGGCAACATGGCGAAACCCTGTCTCTACAAAAAACACAAAAATTAGCTGGATGTGGTGGCGCGCGCCTGTGGTCCCAGCTACTCGGTAGGCTGAGGTGGGAGCATCACCTGAGCCTGGGAGGCTGAGGCTTCAGTGTGCCAAGATCGCACCACTGCACTTCAGCCTGGGCGACAGAGACCTTGTCTGGAAAGAAAAAGAAAAATAAAAAAGGTACCAATAAAAATTTCAATTTATGTCATTCAGAATTTCACGGATTTTTTTCAGCTATTGCAGATTCTTCAGATGACTCCATCAATGCAATAAGAATCTTGAATTTTTCTTTGCAGAGGAAAAACCGACAACATATTCATCTTTATGTGGGGTGCAGATAGGGAAAAGATTTTTAAAACCACAATAAAAAAAGGAAAGCAAGATTACTTTTATTTAAAAAACCTAGATAGCTCTGCTTAAGCCTTTCTGTTGTCAAGTCGTTTGCAGCAAAAAACAGGGATATGATATAGCAAACAGAAAAAACATGAAAAAAATCACATACATAGTGCAGGAAATATTATTAGTAATAGATTTAGGACAGAATAAATTGCCCAACTGTAGCTTCGTTTATCTTTCTGCTAGAGGATCTGGTGGCCACAACAACTTATGCACATTTTCAAAGAAAGATCATGGACATATTTAATAAAGATTACTTCTCTTTTCTTATTACTATCATTTTGCTTACGATGGAGCACGCAGTAACTACCTTTCTTGCCTTTCTTGAGATTCTCCTTTGGCTGCTTACACAGGAAACCAAGGCGGGGAGTGCCACGGGTGATCTCATGCTGGCATGACGTCAAGAACCCTTGACGTCAGAAGGCGGTTGCCACGGACACCGTTCGCCACCGACGGCAGAGTCGTGAAACCCCATCACTACCACACTCGTCTCCGTTTCGGCCTCTGCAGGGTGTAAGCTGCTAAAGAAGCTTCAACCTTAAGGGGGCCTCAGGGAGAGAGTTGTGCTGCTGCCGCCGAGAGCTCCACCTCCGTGGCTCTGGGTCCGGGGCCCCGGCCTGTGGCGGCGAGCGGCGGCCGCTGGAGGCGAGCGGCGGCTGCAGGCGGCCCGCCCGGGTCTATCTCGCTCCGTGCAGGGCCGGGAGAGGGATCCGCCATATTGGAGCCGGGGCCGGAGGTGCCTTGGAGCCGCGGCGCGAGGCGGGTGGAGGTGGCGGCCCTGGTCTGGATCGAGGAGGAGTCGGCTCTGCCCTGGCCCGCAAGGCTGGGGAGCTAATGAGGCGCTTCGGCTAGTCTCCTCCCCGCCCACTCCCTCCACTTTCTGCCGCCGGGACCCGGCTGGGAGCCGGCTGTGGCAGTGGCAGTGGCAGTGGCAGTGGCAGCGGCAGGATGTTCTCCAAGAAGCCGCACGGGGACGTGAAGAAGTCCACCCAGAAGGTGCTGGACACCAAGAAGGACGCACTGACTCGCCTCAAGCACCTGCGCATCGTCATCGGTGAGGAGCAAGGGGTGGCAGCGCCGAGGCCTGGGTTGCCCGGCCTTCCCTTTCCTGGGAGCCCCTGCGGACTCTCCCTCGGGACCTGGCGCGGTGCAGGAGAGGGCAAATCGTAGCCTCTGCGGAGACGCGGGAGGGTGAATAATTCGGAGAAGCGAAAACTTGGCAGTTGGCAGCACTAATTACGGTTTACGCAGGAATATCTAATTTTGAGTTAATAGTCTGAATTCATTTTTTAAAATGGGTATTACTGTAAAAACTTAGATCTTTAAGACTTTGCGGGGAGACCTGGCATTGTGGATAATGGTGTTTATAGGATATGTTTGCCAGATGACTACTGCCAACCCCACCCAAGTAAAAAGAAAAATAAAATCCTTTCTCAGACAATATAAACCTTAATCTTTCAAGTTTCTTGGCAGATGAAGACAAGGAGGAAGCAGTCACACCTCTTTGGGAAGTGGGTGGTTCCCAAAAAGCTGTGGGAAGGAGCCCCGCCCTTTTGTTAATGCACCTTGTTCATCACTAGTCATTTAGAGGGAGAACTATTATAGGTAGTTTATCTCATCCTTTGCTTCTCAGGAATTGTATATAATTCTATTTTTATTTAATTAAAAAAATTTTTTTGTACCGTCGTCTGCCCTTAAGTTCTGTCTACTGCTGGTAGACCAAACAGTGCTCTAAGTTTTGAATATAATGTTAATCGACTCTTTTGAATACTTAGTCATTTGGTAGGCTGGTAAGGGTTGTTATAATACTTATGGAACTTCTGGTCCAGTAAATGGATTTTTTAGATGAAGACATTTGAGATGAAAAGGAAAGTTATTTTGCCTGTGTTGATACGTAGAGTTAATGGTAGAACTGGCTGAAGAAGATGCATTCATCCAGATGCCTGAATCCTAGTTCAGAGTTTATCTCGAGCTGTCTTCCTGATGCGTATTTGTTTTGGAAAGTGATGTTTATTTAGTGAAAAAAGTAAGTCCCTTATTTGAGGTACATGTTTCTCTAGTCTATTGTTTACTCATACCACCAGGATACCACCAATATTACCCAATATTACCCATTTCTATGATGCTTTACTGTTTACAGTGATTTCACGTAAATAATGATAATCCTTGCAGTAACTCTATAGGTAGGTATTATCATTCTCCATTTTTTACAAACAAAAAAGCTGAAGTTTGGAAACATCAAGTAGTCAGCCAGCTACTAGGAGGCTGAGTCAGAACTGGAACCCAGATTTGTGTCTCTAGTTTTTTTTTTTTATTCTTTCTACATTTATGACAGCTAATCTTTGTCACAAGTAAATTGTATTTATTCCAGTGGAGTAGTAAGAAAGCAGTTAATCCAGTTTAGAGCTATAAAAAGCTCAGTTTTCAAGAAAATATAAAGCTTCTAAATATAGTGGAGATTGTGATCTTTTTGTTTTCATTCTACTTGAGAATTAAGCCATTGAAATAAAGATTTAGCTGAGAATAGGACACAAAGTTAATATGTGAATGCAGGAGAGGGACCACAGGTAATGGCAATTTGAAATTGAACACTTAATGGAGCTTGAAACCTACTTGGGATAAGCTGTAGGTTAGGTAACGGCACAGCTATAAAGTTGAGTTCCAATAAAGTATTGAGATTTCCTAAATTAAGGGCTATACTTTATTTATAGAATGGTTAAGGAATTATTTATATATACTTTTTTGGCATAGAGTTTTTTTCCATCTGGGAGACATGGAAAATTAAAAGATAAATTAAGAGAGAGGTCACACATACAAGGTATTTTGTAGGACTTAGCTTGCTTGGTTTGAAAACAAAACAAATCTTTTATTGTTGTTGTTAATTTTGTTTGAAATACACTTAATGTAATTTCTAAGAAAACGAATGAGACAAAGTAGAATGACAAAAACTAGTGTCTTTTAGAGGTCTGCCAGTCAGGTATTTGATTTTGCAGATGGAAAAGCCACTTTCAGTCTTTTTTGGAAGAAGGTACAGGTTTTAAATAAGGTAAACACAATGAGGAAACTAGTTTGCAGAGTAACTGAGTATTGCCAGTTACACAGGCTTTTGATTTTTGTTTGGTCCCATAGTTCATATGGGACCAAACAGAACTGCTATTCACTCAGGGTACTTATAGGAGGATTCAGTGCGTCCATATGTATGAGAACATAATCATAATTTAAATATCCTCTGTAAACTTTTTTTCCTGGCGTGTGTTCCCACTGTAGGACAATCCAAGTTAAATTTATAGAACTTGACTCTGAGGATTTAGATTTAAATCTGGTATGTTTATTGATATTATTACATACTTGATTTGTAGAAACTAAAGTCAGGGTTTTCTTAAAACAGAAAAAAAAGCCTTGTCTGGTTTCTAAAGCTGTTGTCCTTTCTACCTACCCCCTCTCACCCATTTTACAAGTAATGGTAATGATACTATAAATTAGCACATGTAAATTGGCTAACATAATGTTTGGCATGTAGTGGGTATTGACTAAATGTTAGTTTTGTTTTACTTTAAAGCTAACAGTTCTGTCCTCTTGATGTAAAAATAAAAAGATAAGTGCTTATTTAGCTAAAAATATATTATTTATTGTTAAAGAATTCTGACAGCTTTATTGAGGTATAATTGGCATATAGTCAATTGCACATATTTAAAGTACATAATTGAATAATTTTTACATATGTATATCTCATGAAACTATCATAACAAAGATTTAAAATATCCAATCAAGATAACAAATATAGATAGGGACAATCAGGATAATATATGTATAATCAGCTGGGTGCCGTAGCTTACGCCTGTAATCCCAGTACTTTGGGAGGCTGAGGTGGGCAGATCACGACGTCAGGAATTCAAGACCAGCCTGGCCAACACAGTGAAACCCCGTCTCTATTAAAAATCAGGCATAGTGGCACGCACCTGTAGTCCCAGATACTTGGGAGGCTGAGGCAGGAGAATTGCGTGAACACCAGAGGCGGAGGTTGTGGTGAGTCAAGATCACGCTACTGCACTCCAGCCTGGGCAACAGAGCGAGACTCTGTCTCAGAAAAAAAAAAAAAGAAAAAAAATATGTGCGTGTATATATGTATATATATATATATATATATGTAAGTATACATAACCTCCCAAAGTTTTCTCATGCCCCTTTGTAATATCTTTTTCCCATCCCAGTTGCACTCTCCCACCTTTCCTGAGCAACCAGTAATCTACTGTCACCCTTGATTAGTCTGCATTATCTAGGGTTTTATATAAATGGAATTATACAGTATATAAATGGAATTATGCTGTACGATCATTTTATGTTTGATTTCTTCTGTTTTTTTTTTGAGATGGAGTCTCACTCTGTCGCCCAGGCGTGATCTTGGCTCACTGCAACCACTGCCTCAGCCTCTTGAGTAGCTGGGATTACAGGTGCCGCACCACCATGCTAGCCTAATTTTTTTTTTTTTTTGTATTTTAGTAGAGACGGGGTTTCAGTGTGTTGCCCAGGCTGGTTTTGAACTCCTGAGCTCAGGCAATCCACCCGCCTCAGCCTCCCAAAGTGCTGGGATTACAGGCATGAGCCACTGCGCCCGGCCTTTTTTTTTTTATTTCTAGTAGAGATAGGGTTTCACCATGTTGGTCAGGCTGGTCTTGAACTCCTGACCTCATGATCCGCCTGCTTCAGCCTCCCAAAGTGCTGGGATGATAGGTGTGAGCCATCGCGCCCGCCATTATTCACAGTTTTTAAATCCATTCACCTGTTGATGGAAATATGGGTTGTTCTTGGCTGTTACAAATAAAGCTGCTGTGAAAGACCTATGCTTTATTTCTCTTGGATAAATACCTAGGATTGAAATGTCCGGATCATATGGCAGTTGTACATTTAGCTTTGTAAGAGATGGTCAAATTGTTTTTCACCATTTTACATACTCACCAGCAGTGATGAGAGTTCCAGTTCCTACACATATGCACCACCAGCACCAATCAGTATGGCCAGTCTTAATTTCAGCCACTCAGCCACTCTTAAGTGTGTACTGGTTATAATTAGTAGTTCCTTGATACCAAATCTCTCTTTTTTTTTTTTTTGAGATGGAGTCTTGCCCTGTCTCCCAAGCTGGAGTGCAGTGTGCAGTGGCGAGATCTCAGCTCACCTCACCCTCCACCTCCTGGGTTCAAGCAGTTCTCCTGCCTCAGCCTCCAGGTAGCTGGGATTACAGGTGGGCACCACCATGCCTGGCTAATTTTTGTACTTTTAGTAGAGATGGAGTTTTGCCATGTTGGCCAGGCTGGTCTTGAAATCCTGAACTCAGGTGATCGGCCCACCTTGGCCTCCCAAAATGTTGGGATTACAGGCGGGCGTGACCCACTGTGCCAGGCCTCAGATATCTTTTTATTGTACTTGTTTGCCGTTGTATAACTTCTTTGATGAGTTTGTGTTTAAATCTTTTACATGTTTTTTAATTAAGTTTTTTGCTTTCTTAATTCAGTTTTGAAAGTTCTTTAGGCCAGGTGCAGTGACTCATGCCTGTAATCTCTGCACTTTGGAAGGCCGAGGCAGGTGGCTCACTTGAGGTCAGGAGTTCGAGACCAGCCCAGCCAACATGGTGAAACCCCGTCTCTACTAAAAATAACCAGGTGTGGTAGCACACGCCTGTAATCCAGCTATTCAGGAGGCTGAGACGGCAGAATTGCTTGAACCTGGGAGGTGGAAGTTTGCAGTGAGCCGAGATTGTGCAACTGCACCCCAGCCTGGGTGACAGAGTGAGACTCTCAAAAAAGGAAAAAGAAAGTTCTTTATATTCTGGATACAGATACTGTATCAGACACATGATTTGCAAAGTTATTTTTCCCAGTCTTTGGACTGTCTCTTCATTCTCTTAAAGTTTTCTTTGAAGAAGTTTCTTTGAAGAAGCAGAAATGCTTAATTTTTATTGTCTATATATCAATTTTTTCTTTATGGTTTTTGCTTTTTGATTTTGTATCTAAAATCTTTGCCCAACCCATGCTCACAAAGATTTTCTTCTTGCTTTTT